AGCGTTAAACATAACCTTGCAGCCTTATTGACTACTTTAACTGCATGCTTTTCTTCTGAAGTTCTTCCCAGCTGTGATGCACTTTTGTTATCTGGCTACACACTTAGTGGTATTTACCGTATCGATCCCTTGGATGGAAATGGTGGATTTGGAGTGAACTGCGACAACGAGAACGGCGGAGGAGGTTGGTCGATAATTCTAAGACGATATGATGGTTCCTTAGATTTCGATCGCGGGTGGTCTGCCTACGTGGAAGGCTTAGGAGATCTAACAGGAGAGTTTTGGTTAGGCTTGGAGAAAATGTACAGACTCACTGGTGGCTCGTACTTCAACTTGAGATTCGATCTCGAATCCTCGAATGGAATCAAGAAGTACGCAGAGTACGAAGGATGTCTACTGGACAAGGACCGAAAATATAAGATAACTGTTGGAAGTTATTCAGGTGAGAAATGACGCAAGGGATGAAATTTATGGCGGCTGCCAAAACGCGAGAAATACGAGATATTTAAACTGAGGCTAAGCTTTTAACTTTTTTGACACCATCATTGTTGTATTCAGCATACATCTAGCAGATTTTTTTCTTTATAGTAGAGAGTTTCTGGCATCAATTTAGTCATGGTTTTCTAACATTTGACTGCAAAGAATCTCGTTTGAAAATATTCATTTCTCATTGCCCGACCGAACCTTGTTTTTCCTTGTTTTTTCTTTTTTGTTTATAAAAAGTTAAAAAAAGGGAAGACAAGCGTGATTCACTACCTAGAGTATAATTAAACCTGGATGTTTACAGAAAAAACCTTAATGTAGACCTGGGATGTAAGAAGACTCCTGCAGGAGGTCAAAAGTGACATGCAAATTGCTAAGGAAAAATTGATCAAAGCAGTCGGCTTAGAAAAATTTTTTACCCAAACAAAATGGATCAATATCAGTATCTGGGCAACTGCCCACCTACCCCTCTCCTAACCCAACATTAACCTTAACTTGTTGTCAATTGACTGTTGTTGAGTCAGGGGAGGGGTAGGTGGGCAGTTGCTCAGATACTGATATTGATCCAACCAAATTACCCCATTCCCACCCTCACCTCCTTGGTTGATTTTCTTTTTCATCTTTTTTTCCACCTTTTGAACGACTGACCCAGCCACATCCACGAAAGGGAAAGCGACGGAGTCGTAACAATTTATGGGAATGGCCACAATAGATTTGCTTTTTCCTTTTGCAGGCGATGCGGGAGACTCGTTTTCGTATCACAGTGGGATGAAATTCTCCACTAAAAATAAAGACTATGATCAGTCCACCTTGAAGTGCGCTCAAGTTGCAGGTGGCGGATGGTGGTTTAATGATTGTCAACGCGCATGCCTCACAGGAAGTTACGAGAATGGCACGCACAGTTCTCAAGGAATTGTGGGCATTCAATGGCAGGCGTGGACTGGGGCTAACTACTCTTTGTCCAAAGTTGAGATGAAAATAAAACCAGCTTAACTTGTGACTACAGTCGACTTGAAGACCAAAATAAAAGGAGCAATTTTCTGTCCCAGAGAGGAGTTGCGGCTCGCACGCTTCCCGCTGACTTTTAGACTCAGTATGGAAAGATGACCATGAGAGCGCTCTTCGCTTCAGCGTCGGAAATTGAAAACCAAAGTTGTCGTAATAGTCAATCAGAAGATTGGCCAATGAGAGCCAATGAGAACTCAACAACCAACCAAACTGCCTAAAACGCGGGAAAACGTTTAAATTTTGCCTCTGATTGGTTAAGAATATGTCGTGAGTTTCCTGAGATTACTTTGGACACTCAACCAAAATTGCTCCCACTCCATCAAGGAATAAGAGATTGAATATTCAGGGAAGGAGAATTTACTTTAATTTTAGGAAACCTATTGTAGGAAAAGCAGTGTAAAGAACTCGACGAATCAATTTCCCTCCCACCAGCTGTTCAAAGAGAAATATTTGAAGGTATTGATTAGAATGGAGAACTTTTCAGAAAGCTCATTAATGAACTCAAAAACGAATGAAACCATTTTGACATTCCACGTGCGGTTATCGCGAATTGTAGCACACTTCTACCAAAATAGGGTATTGTCTGAGTGACTTACAAACATTGAGTTGTATAAGCGTTTCTTTTATGAACTCTGAATTATAGTCAATTTTTTCGCACGTCAGCCAGGAGAACTGGATCGAGTACATGCAATTGAGGCTACTCATTCATCGGAAGAGGTGGCGTTTTGTTCATCTTCCACAATCAGTGGCGAACATATAATATGTATCCGTTACTTTTAACGAACACAACTCGAACTTCCTACTTTTCATTAGTTAACATGTGACGAGCATAACATCAAACTTGTTCCTGATCACTTATCAAATCAAACTTTGTCTCATTGGTAATATTGCTAGAAAATAAATGATTCCACTAGTCATGTTTTCATAGTTGAGCACTAGGCCTCGTTTTAAAAAAGAGGCCAAAGGTAAACAGGCCGGGAGAAGAACAATCAAGAGTTTGCAATTATATATTTCTAATGAGGTGGTGAACCGTTTGTGCATGACGCCAGTTTTATGCATGAGATTAAAATGATGGACGATGTTCAGAGGTTGTGACGACAAACACAAAGACCTTTTAAGTTTGTCAGGGCATGTAGGCGCCATGCTGGATTAGAACCTACCTCTGAGTTCTCCAGAATAATGAAATTGGATCTTGAACTTGTTTTCACTTCATTGAATCGTTGAATAGAACACAAATGTACAGAATGATGGAAAAGTCTCAGTTAATTAGCACTCTCTCTTGACCAGCGCAAGATAATTATAACTTCGTTTACTTGACAGAAGTTTGAGTTAACTGTCGTTTTTGATTACCTCTATCGAGTGAAAAAGTATTTAACGGAACATGCAGTTGGAGAAGTTGAAAATGTGGCGAAAAGTGTTCTGTCCATGCTTATTTTCGGGAATGGAATTTGAATTTATTTCCCATGAGACGAATTGATAAAAGAAATTAGACTGCCTAATAACGTGACAAAAGCTGCCGAACTGGAGGCGCCATTGTCTCAATATTTTATTAAAGTATTTTTGTACAACAGTTTGTTCTTTAATGACCTTGATTCGTAAGCGCAGCTAATTAAAGTTAGTTTACGTAGAGAAAATGATTTCTTGCAACCTTACCCTTCGATTGTTGTTGGTGTTATGTGTAGGTTTATGTTATTCCACTCTCCTACCATCGATCTACTGGGATCCTCGCAATCCAATGTAAGTATTTTGTTTGTAAACACCTAGAGTCGGTCGTTAAATATTGTAAGGAACTTGATGTTCTCCGTCGATAAGTTTGTTTAACCGATTATTGACTGAATTTAATCTTGATTCAATACTGTACTGTCTCATTTATGACTAGAATATTGCTAAAATTGACGAACATGCACAATCGGTCGAGGTAACTGTATTATAAAACACAAACACTTTGATTCATCACATTGCCTTCTAAAACGACTCAGTGTTATACTGAAGTAACGTGTGTAACAATTGAAAAGTGGCATTAATGATGGAGAGCGGAATTTTCTTCTCAGTTCCCTGAAAGGATAAGATTATGCAGCTGTTTTATCGTACAAGTATGATAACATTCAAATCAAATAATACCCTATTGATACATGTATGAAAAACGAAAAATATTCGGTATCGAAGACAAACTCTTATCCTACAAGAGAACATACCTGATGTGTTATTTTGCATCCGATAAAAGTTGACCTTTTTTTCCCTTTTTTGCATCGATACTAAGGAGTCACTTTGTGTAAAACGTTTTGGTTTACTTGTTCTTGACACTTGAGTAACGACCCATTTGTGACAAAGATCCTGCTATAATGAAAAGTGTGAAGTAACTGAGAGAAAGGGGCTCAAAAATTACTCCATTTTGGGTATGTGCGACAAAAGTTGCCTTTTTTGGAGCAATTCAGACATGAAAACGTTTGCCAAACGTTTGCCGTTGGAGTTTCTTTTCTTGGAAATGAATATTGCGGATAACAGAAACGGGCCGGCAAACTTGAAAAAAACTAATGAAATAAAGTAAAATAGAACAGGTTTAATGGAAGAAGATTGCCTTTAAATAAACAAAAACGCCTGAACTTATGTGGCTGCTATAGAACTTTACTAAATGCTTTATGGCGAAGGAAATTGGTTGGGCACAGCCAGTAATGACAGTCATGTCAGTGTAAAAGAACTTTTGAGGCTACAAAAGGCTAAGACTGGTTCCATACAGCGTCATGGCTGGCCATTATTACGGATACGAGAAGAGTATAAAATGTTTTGCAATATCTTAAGGTTGGCATGGCAAGGGTTTAAGGCACAAAAGCAGTGGTTTTAATTGTGGTCAGACTGGCGACAAGACACAAAAGAAGTATAGCGCTGAGTTGGTCCGGCTCAAAAACTCGGCTGGAGGTGACAATACAAAGAAACACTGCCTGCTCTATTAATTTGAAATCGCTGCTGCATGATCAATACTTGTTCTGGAATGTTCTTTTTGTTTATCTGTTGTTGTTTGTCTGTTTGTTTTTAGCTTGTTTAAGTCCAGTCAGTTAGTTTTTACTTCAATACCAGTTTTCAGTGATCAAAAAAGCACACACGATAAAAAACAAAAATTACCATAGAAAACGGATTAGCTATGATCATTCTATTTTTTACAGTCATTTTCCTAGACCAACGCTAAGTCAAAAGCGCTTCACACATTGAAATCAAATATTAGTTACTCAGTACAAAGTTTTTCATAAATCTTTAAAACTGAAATAAAACTGCATTTGCGAATTTTAGGCGTATCAATACTTCACGAATCTACAGTTTCTGATAGAATGCGAGCAATCTCTCTTTGCTTGCGTAATCCTTTTGAGGTTTTTTGCAAGTAAGTAGTCTGAGATATCTTTACGCTATATTTTCGATCGATGAGCGCAAAGGATTACGCCTAGAAAGATAACTATATGAAGTTCATTTTTCTCTTAATGGAGTGAGCCCACATGCAACCGCTTTTGTACCACGAAATGGAGAGAGATATTTACAGCATTGCGTTAACCATATTTTTTAGCTTTCAGAAAAACTTGACGATGAAAGTTCCTGCCCATTCTAAAATGAAAATCGTCTGCCCAAATCCAGCGAGTGTATTACAAGAAACGGAATCTAGCATACCACTGGAGCAAATGTACTCAAATCTATGGATAGTGACTAAACAAGAGTTTGACATTTGTAAAATAAACGCAAGTGATCAAAGCTTTTCTAACGAGAAGAGATTACTGATGAGCTGTAATAACCCTTTGCAGCTGAAGTATTATGAGATGGTGTTTAGAGCTTACACCGTGCCAGGCAGCATTGCATATGAGCCCGGCAATAGTTACTACTTTATAGGTAAGACAGTCGACCACTTGTCTTCATTGAAAGAGCTGGATAACGAAATATTTAAGAAATGTTATGCATTTTCCCTTTGTAAGGCCCTTTTGTGAGAGATCAGACCAGACTGCCGAGACAGTGCGCAAGTTAGACACTGGATGGAAAGACGTGCGTTGTTGCTCTGTTCGGATCAATGTGTTTCACGTTTGTGCTGGAAAGTTAACTCTTACTGTATCGTCCTTCACTATCTCACAAATCTAAATCAAGATGTTGGATTTACGATAGTTTTGTAAATTTTAGTTTGTACTACGGTTGTCGCGCAATATTAAGGAGCTAATGGTTCGCGCTCGTGTCCTGACCGGGTAACTATTTTGTGTTGTGTCCTTCGATAAGACACTCAACACTCGCACGGTGCCTCTCCACGCGGGCTCGAGTGCGTAGAAAGAGACCAGCAGAGACAAATAGAGTTGTTCACAGTTCCTTAACCTTTAAGTTCGTGTTATATCCGGGCTGTCTGATGTTTATATCGTTTTTCCAGCTGGAGAATCATCATTTCAAATAAAATCGACTTTAATACGTTTTAGGTACGTCCGACGGTACCAACCACTCACTGGCCAATCACGAAGGGGGACACTGCCTGTCGTCTAACATGCGGATGTCAATCTACGTCTGTAATGGAAGTTTAGGTACTTGAAAACTGTTCTAATTTATCGTGCCTGCGCAGTAGTCAAGACTGCGTAATTCAGGTTAAAAGATCAAAGATTAGTCAATATTAGATTGGTTAGGGCCCCAGAAAAACATGTTGTTGGATGAAGTTAAACATGGTTCTGAAACATTAAACTGCGGAAAAGTAAAAAACTATGGAAAAGCATGTTCTCGTTCGCCGCAGGCGTGCGGATAGCTCTGTCTCGTGATAAATCAGCTCGGAACTCTCCTTTCGATAAATCTAACATGTTTTTTTATTTAATCAAATCTATCATTGTCTTTGCCAAAATTTAACCCTAAAATGTCCTCTCATTGGAAGCCTTCTCATTTTTCGTGCCATATTTATGATGAAAAATATGTCACTGTTTGTTGAGTGTTATTCCATTATTTTTATTTTTTCAGATCCAACTTGCAATGAAGTTCAACAGAGTTCACTTTCGCCCACGCCCTCACACTCGTCCCAGTCTTCAGTATTCTCTGTCTCGACTCCAACAGCTCGTATTACGACTTCCAGCGCTCTAGTTACTAATTCCTGGAGTTACATGTTTCCTTCAGTTTCGGCAGTGAGTTCCGCCAGCACTGCACTTGCACTTCAGTCATCGATTGCTGTCCAATGTCAAGGTACGTTTGCAGATACATTGACTGCTGTTCGATATCTCATACAAGGATGTTGAGACGAGAGTCTCCACAGGGTACCCACCAAACATGTGCGAGTCACAGGCATACAAATTTATCTTATTCTTTTCTTTCTCCCCTTTTGCTTCTGCAGCAACCATTAACGAAATGTTAATTAGGAGTCTTATAAACCAGTCAGAACTATTGTACGACATTTACAACTACACACTCATGATACCGGATTTAAGTCTCATGCTACAGCAGAAACTGAACCTTTCAACAGGGCAGACGACAGAAACCGACGGAAGTTCGTTAAAGGTCATCACGGCTAAACCTGGTAAGCTTACAACATGAGCCTTGGATTTTTCTGTCAACCAATCGCTAGCAGCTCAGGTCGGCTCATATAAAGCAAATGATCGAAATTAATACCACGCAGACTTGGGTACGAGGTGAGCTTGTGTCAGCCCAGGTTATACGCAGAAGTCACCAGCCCCTGAGTACTGATTTTTCGTTTTCATAAAGTATTAGTTGTAACGTGTGTTTTTTCAATTGTCCCTTAAGCTCAGCGACATTGTAAAAATTGGCTGAAAAAGAACTACACAGAAAGCGGAAGCTACCGTCTGTTGATAAATTGGAAGACTTGGCAAACAAATGATCGTTTTCGAGTTTACTGTGACCAAGAAACTGCTGGCGGTGGTTGGACCCTTTGGATGCGTCGCTTTGACGGATACATCGGCTTCAACAGAGACTGGGATTCTTATGAGGAAGGATTTGGAGATACCTCCGGCGAATTTTGGCTGGGTTTAAGATCTATGGAGAAAATTCATGCTGACAGTAAGTTCTCCATAAGGTTAGACATGGAAACCTCTGACGGCAGCAAGGACTACGCTGAATACACGAATTGTGAATTGGGAGACTGGCAAACTATGTACACGCTAACAGTGGGATCGTTTGTGGGTAAGTGGAGGTCTCATTTGACGGGAAAAAAATATCCTTACGGACCAGTCAATATTTACCGACTGGACGGGGGGGAGATTCGAAAGATTTAGGGGGGATCCCTGGGTTTCCAGGCAGTGCGGAGAGGTAATTAGACATCACCAAAGGAGTATAAAAAAAGGGGAACTATAGGAAATTGATTGCCAATTGATAGGGGATGAGGGAGGGGAGGGGAGGGGAGAGGGGGGGGGGTCAAAAGAAAACTCCAGAGCCTCGTGGAGGATCAGGTAATTTTGTCGTGAAACATCTACAATTCATAGACCCCCCTCTCACCCTCTCCGGGATAAATTACGATCGTTCCCTTAGAATCTCGCATCGTTACTCATTACCTAACGAACGGTTTCGTCTCCAGGCCTCTTCTGTAGCTCGCTCTTCCCCGACGATGGGGCAGAAGAGCTTGATTACTCTTTCTCCAAGGGGGCAAGGCAACGTATCCTGCAATCCGATATGGCTCTCAGGGTGGGCGAGATGCTTTGCCGAATCATCTTGATGATACAGTTTCAAAAATGAACGGATAGTATTTACCAATCTTTTCCTTCTTCTACACTTCCGTCAACGATTAATCTACGCAGATTTATCTTTATTACCGCTAAATTCACGGCACTTCAGCCGCGATATTAAATCATTAATCTAGAAGGGTTACTGATGTTTTATCGCTGCATTTTAGGTGGCGGTGCAGGTGACTCTCTTTCATTCCAGAATGGTACGAAGTTCTCGACTTTTGACAAAAATAATATGCAGAATACCAGCACAAACTGTGCACAGGACACCAAAGGTGGATGGTGGTTCAATGACTGTCAGCGAAAGGCTTGCTTAACAGGAAAATACAAAAACGGCATTCGGTGGGATTCTTGGAAAGGATCCAATGAAACTCTCTCCAAAATAGAGATGAAAGTACGCCCAGTTTGACAAAATGTGAACGAACATGGAAATCTCGGTTTTCTCGACAACCGTATATGAAGTATCTACTTGACTGTAAACCGCTGTCCAGAATAAAGCGAACCCTAAGGCGAGTTCTACCATTTGAGCACGTGTGTGAGGTTCGCCTCGTTTTCTCAACAAGCGTACAAAAGTACCACCTTAACTCTGTAGACCTCTGTCCAGAAATAATGGAAAATAGTGCGAGTTTAACTTCTTGAGCACGTGCATGTATGAAGTTAACCTGATCTTCTCGCCAAGCAGATACGTTTTCACATATCTCGTAATGACGACCGTATATAGGGTATCCACCAAACTCTTTCTACCCCTGTCCATGCAGATGATATAGCTCACACGCATCAGGGTTTCAAAGCTGACGTTTCAAGCGTTCGCTTTGAAACTCTTTACGGTGGCTAATTTACATTATGAACTCAGTTGATAAAACAACTACCCCACTGACGTAGCACCACAGTTTGTTTAGAAACTAACCCCTTTATTGACTATGCTTGAATACGACGTGCACACTGGCAGTTACCCATGTTAAATTGTAAATAAGTTTTTAAAACGATGACGAAATTGCGACAGTGGATTTGAAGTGTTCGTTATTCCTATTGTGCAAAACAATTCCTTGCCTGAACGATTAAGTCCCCATTGGTAACATTTGAAATACAAATACACCTTGTGGCTGTTCTTTACCATTAAATATCGTTCAATTCAATTGAAAGCAACTATTATTTGCGGAACAGCAAGACGAACTCGGCTCAACCACTCGATGAGGAAAAGTTTCCTGACTCGACCTGACGTTACGTCATTTTGTCAAAAAGATCAAGAGTAGCACCTAGGGCCCAGCTTACTTCAACACCATCGATTTTCTTTTTAAGCTATCAAAAGACAAGAAACGCGCGCATTAGAAATAGATCAAGTACAAAACGCGCTCAAGAAAGCAAGGTTTAAAGGAGTAAATTTCATTGAATACTCTATTAAGTTGTTGATACCTTTTTAAAAGCGACTTTTGCTACATCAGAAATTCGAAAACGAAAAAATGACTGCGAGATGTATATTCAAGTATTGACTGGGGTCACATTCTTTTTCATCGGGGAACAAAGAACAAATTATAATTTTCCTGGCTCTCGTCATGTGGCTTCGTATCTCAGTTTGTAATGGTACTAGGGACGCCTAAGTGAGGGAGGGGAGGGAAAGTACATGTAGAGAGGTCCACGCCCCATTGAAGCCTGCATCAAATTACAGTTTGACTGAAAGGATTCATTTATCACTAATCACCCCAAGTAAGAAAAAATTTGCTCTTTGAAACGGACACCATGCCTTCTAATCAATTAAAGACAATAACAACAACAAAAACAACAACGAAAAGTAGAACTTACAGTAAGATTTTTTTCTTCTGTGAAACCAAATCCTTCCATTAAAAGAGCTACTATGTAAGTGGAATCCAAGCAGAGGTATGGCGACGTCTTTGATTCATTGGAACAAGCTGCCAAAAAAACCCACAGACGCTGACCATCGTTCGCATGAGAAATTAATTAAAAAAAGTATTTGAGTGTGGTTACTGTAACACATGTGAGTACTGTTGAGTGTAAATGAAGAATCTGACAAAGGGCCAGACTACACTCGGTCCCAGCACGAACTATTTACATTATACCATGTTGCCGAAGTATTAATAATGGTAATAGCACCGAGTGGAGTCGGATTTGTTAATTACGAGTATGATCACAGACAGAATTGGACGAGCATGACTCGTACACCGTCCTATAAGTGCTCAAATCGGGCTGGTGATAACCACTCACGTTCGATAGTTGTGTTATAGTTTTGATTAAGAGAGAAATACCTTGTTCGGCACCCTCTTTAAATTGACCAACAGTGATCGTTCCACCCTTCTCTAAGTCTACAATCAAAATGAGACATAAGAAAAAAATGGAGTCTTGTAGTGAGCTTGGTTGTAAGTCAATTGAGTAGTCTACCGTTGCTGGAGTTTGACATGGTTCCCATGGCATGAAAGGCACACTGCCCCTTTCGCTAGGTGGGGATAAGTCCACTGCATAATACGCCCTCCCCCACCCTACCCAGCCAGGTTTTCCAAACAGTTTATCGGTACGCATTTATACTCCCGGGTGGAGAGAGGCCTGGTGGCCTGGTGAGAGTTTAGCGCCTTGCCTAAGAACACAACACAATAACCTGGCCACAAATCCAGTTCAGTAACCCTTAAGCCATTGCATATTCCCGAGCTGCTTGTAAAAAGACAACAGACAAATCTGCTTCTGCAAAATCCCAGCTTTAACTCGAGGAAGTTATCCACTTCAACAAAGAGACAAGTTCACCATGTCAAACTAACACTAACACTTTAACCTTTTAAGTCCCACTAGTGACCAAGACAGAATTTCTCCTTACACTATCAGTACAATATCAAGCAGCCAAGTTATGAGAATAAAGAAAAATATCAATTAGGGGATTATTGGTTGATCCAATTCCAAATTCTCCAAACTAACATCACAAGAATTGTATGACAGACAGTAAGGAGAATTACCAATGAAATCTTGGGAGTTAAAGGGTAAAGCATTGCTAACATCTATGTTCATATCATGGTTTTTTCTTTTTTCTTTCCTGTACGCATGATTTATTCATGTATGTAATCCTGCTAAATTATTCAAGATTTCATGGTAGGTTGTTATAAATTGAAATAGCACAAAAAGTGTAGTTACTGTATTTCTGACAAAGATTTGATTCAATAACAACAAAATATTACTACCGATAGTAAGTTGTTAGAGCAGGTTCCATTGCTTTTAATTTCACTTACCAATTAGCCCCAAATCCACTGCTCTGTCATAGTAGTATGAAAAGGCATACATCTGTATTGAGTCAATTCCAACTGGAAAGAAAGAAATAAAAGTGAAAAACGATCCCCAGATCAGAAAAACACATTACATACAGCATGTAAAACTCAAAACAGGTTGTAAGAATCTGCCTTCATCAATGTGCAACTTAGATGCTATAGGGTTGAGATAGGACATCATTGGACATCATTGGACATTGTTGGACCTAAGTCCTTATAAGTCCTACTATTTGTCATCCTCTACACATTAAAATCTTAAAGGTTTTTCATTGCCAGTAACAAATTTCATAAAGGCGCTTAAGCTGCTGCATGAGAGCAAGTTTGTCAAAAGCATGCGAACTAATTCGACAAGTGAAAGACAAGTAAAACCATTGTGTTAAAAGGAAAACATTTTTTCTATGCTTTTCAATGCCTTTCACATTGCCTACTAACCAGAAATAAGTAAAAAAAAATGTCCCTTCTCTGAGTTAAAGGGTAAGAAGCTAGTTTAACTTATTAGTATTAATTACAAATATTTTCAGAAACTTTTCTCCTACATACATACAGTCATATACTTTATTTATGCTCGGAATTCACAGTGTAGCTGTAGAGCTAATATCTTCGAGAAAATAAGTTAAGTAAAATAAAAATATGCTATATTACAATTCCAATATTATTTACAAACTATATACAACATTATGCATGCAAAGGGAAATATAACTTGTAGATCTACTGTGGAAAAGCTTCATATCTGAGGATCTCCTGCTTGAATTCTAGAAAATTTAATGTTTTTTAAGTGTCTAGGAGAGAGTTCCATATTTTGCTAGCTAAGTATGAAAAAGAGTGCAGACCGTAAGTTGTTGTTTTTGGGTTGGGAAGAGCCAGGATATTATTTCCGCGCAAATTGTAGGATGAAGACTGTACAGTGAACATATCTTGTTTTCCTTGGAACAAGTTTCTGTTGAAAATGTCATACCTGGTTTATGAACTTGGAATTTAGCCAGAACTTTCTTGGCATCCTCCAAACATCCAGAATATCCATATCTACTGTCACCACTAGAACATGATAACAAGTAACAAAGTTAACCACTTGACCCCTGAGAGTGACTAGCATCTAATTCTTCCTTACAATATCACCCCTGAATCACACAATAAGTTCACATGAATGAAGGATCACTAACTAAAGTAGCTCTTTGTTGTTAAACAAATTCTCCTTGTCAGCACCTTTGGAAATGTATAGAGAACAGTAGGGAGAATATGCATACTGATGTTAGGGTATATGGGGTTGTTTTTATAGAGAGATGCTTCCAGTTTGTCACTAGCATCAAACAAGGAAAAATATAAATCCTTGAAACAATTCAAGCCCAGCAAATTTTTCCAATTAATATGCAGTCTGGTGCTTTGAAAAACTTGTTAACAAAATATATTGTAAGTTCATATATGTATGCTATGGAATTGTGATAAAAGAAGGTTTCATTACTAACCTAATTTCAATACTTTTGTGAATGCCAAATTTCCAGCTTCCTCTAAAGTTGTAATGTATACACGGACTGAGTTTGACATCTACACCATCTAATCAATGTAGAAGAGAGAAATACTCAGGAAGGTCCATTTTTACTGAGACAAACTCTACATAGTACATGTAACAAGTGAAGCAAAGCAACATCCTTACTCCCAGCTGTTCCTGACTCTAATATGGCTGTTCTTGCTGCCATGAGCCCAAGACCTAGATAACTAAAAGTTGAAAGAAAGAAAAAAAGCCTGAGGATTTGCTTTGTCTTTCATGTTATGATTTTCGATAATTACAATAACTTAACCCTTTCACTCCCAGGGGTGACAGACAAGCAATTTCTCCTTACACAATATCAATACATTTTCAAGCAGTAAGGTGATGAAAAGAAAAGAAAATAGCAATAAAGGGTACTTTGAGCTAAAATCATAAGGAATGTAAGGTAGACAATGTAAAGAATTAATAGTTAGATTTGTGGAGTGAAAAGGTTGCAAGGATTTAACACATCACAAGACCCAGACCAGTAAACAGCCTCTCTATCCCATCCCTCCCTCTGATTTTCTCCACCTCCCTCCCCTCTGTCTCATTTTCTCCAGCCCTTGCAGCTCCATGTACCTGTGAGTGTACAAAGGAAACTTTTTCTTGGCTATTGTTAGA